GTCGGCTAGTAGCTAATGGCTACCTGCTCTGAATAGCCATCTCTGAGAGCATAATGACGAGCCATGGTTCCTGACAGCGATGTAAATTCTGTAACTACAGCAGTTGCAAGGTCTGACATGGCAAGTGAGGCAGCGTCCTCCACAACCGGAAGCAGATCTTCATCAATTTCGAGGGCCAAGCAAAGCTTAGTTACCATCTTTTCTAGACGGTTCATCTTATCCAGCATCGTCCCCAGCTTTTCCTATTAATTCACATAAACATGGACGAAAAGCTTGTGTTATATGTGCCATTGCAGTCAATAATATATGGCTTGTATTTGTTACTTGTAAGAGTATTGAAAGAAACATAAGGCATTCTATTAATGTACTATTGTTTTTAATGTCTAAGATATGTACTAGAAGGAAGACTTACATGAAAAAGAATTCCCTTTAGCTGATCTCGGAATTCAGAAAATCTTTTACTCGTGTCCATCTCATAGAAGAATTTTGCATCTTCATAGCGAGCTCTGCAAAAGTAAAACATGACCTTTGGTGCTTTTAATATGATCCACCACCAAGACTTGGCAGCTAATAAGTAGGGCCATGCAAATAGCTATAACGAACAAAACGTGCCGAGAAGATCAACTCGATCTATTCAATTGAGTAAAGATCCACTTATTACACATCTCAACCTGAGAACTGCTTCATTTCCTTTCTTCACCACATCCTCATTTATTGCACCATTGGCAACCTAAATAAAGTCACACTCTGTTTCATCAGCTATTAATAACTTGTTTTTATGCCATTTAAACTAAAAACATGCTATAGAACATAGTGCAAGGCTCGAGTCTCGTACAGCAATAAAGTAGGGCAATAGTTGTCCACTTTCATCAGTAATGGCGAAATACTTCTGGTGCTTCTGCATAACCTGTGATTAAACCATAGTCAGGCCATCATGACTTAGATAAGCATATTTGTTGAAAAATCACAAGAAAGTAAACAGATATTATGAACAGGTTACATGGTATAAAAGCCAATCTTAGTTTCTGAAAAGCTTACAATAGTTAGTAGCTCATCTGGAAGTTCTAAGAATGATTCCTCAAACTTTCCAATTAACGGCACAGGAGCTTCGACGAGATTTGCAACCTGGAGAACACCGTGAATTTATATAACTTGTACGTATTATGAGGTAAATATAACTTCTTGGAGCCATATGGCAAATCATATTACTGACAACACCATAAGTTACCTCATTAAGTAGGTTCTGCTGGAGTATAACGCGCCCTTTAACACTTTTCGCTAATACATTTGACTTCTCAAGAATTATTTTTTTCCTTTCCTGGAAAACGAAGAAAATCTAAAACAAAGGAAATTTGAACCCCAGCAGAAAGTTACGGAAAGAGAAGAATATGTGAAGGCCATGCCTCAATCTCAATATTGATTCCAGCATTCCTCATCCTATCTTCATAGGACTCTGCAGTGTTTACCTGCCGATATTTAGAAAGACCATAAAGCACGCATAACATCCATATGCCTACAGACGACAGTGCATGGTAAATTCTTACCACTAGTGTGGCTGAAGCAGTATTGCGAAGTCCGAAAGATACATTTCCGCTGCAATTTGAAGATAGAACAAATGTAACAAATTGTTGTTTTGTTTACAAATATTTTGCATATGAAATTCTTCTAGATATCCCTAAGAAACGCCAGAGGAAATTTGGTGGTCTTAAGATTCAAATATATAGGAAACTGAGATTCCAACACGTATCCTTTGAGGCAACAAAAGCAATGGCAAAGGGTAAACATACCTTGTGATGCCAGCAAAGCAGAATGGCACAACCAGATCCCCGTGTAAGGCCATGACCCAGCGAATCGGCCTGCTAAACATTACCTGCTTATCGCAGCACAAGATATATAGTATATACCAGTAATCAAAGCTCCTTGATCTACATCTGATCCTCAGCTATGTATATAGATATGAGTTACATACCGAAGAGTTCCAGCGCATTGATTTTGGGAACGATATTTTAGCCAGTATACCAGGTAAATCTTCTGACAGAACCTATAACAGATAAGATCCCAAAAAACAAAAACAAAAGATTAAACAATAATTGTAGTTTTCCTTCAAGGAAAAGCTCAGATACCAATATAGCGAAGTAGAGGACTCAGTCTAAAAATACAAGGTACATCATATGAAAAGCAACTTAAGCCAGAGGAAAATGTGAACATCAACAATTTCCTAAATTAATGGTTAGACTGTCTTTTATGGAGTTCTCTGTCATGCAAGATGAAAAAACCAGTCGCTATGCATCAGAAGAGGAGTCGAGAAAAAGAACCTCTAAAGCAAGTCGAGCTGGCTCGGTAATTCGTGCATGAACATATTCTGTCTTTCCTGATAAGAAGTACAAAAAGATACAATGAAAAAACTAAACAAAAAAGGCAAACCTCAGCCTAGTAAACAAAAAAAAACAAGAAAATAGTCAGAAGTTGGGTAACAAGATTGGCTGATATAGATGTACTCACCAGCAACTTTTCTGTACAATTGATCCAATGTTACGCCATACCTACGACTAAAACCCTCTGCAGCCTGGCAGGGAAGATCAACGAGAATTATTTATAGCTATATATCTTTAGGCAGTAGTATATGCTATAAAAGAAAGCAAACATAGTACAAAGGCTAAGGGCCAATAGATAAATGATCCAGATACTTTTCCTTAAATTCAAACACCGTCTACTGAAAAACTTAAAATGTTCACTAGTTAATTTAATATCCTAGCTGTCCTAAACCCGAGGTGCAAAGGAGCAGAAGGAAACACAAAAACCTTTGTAGGATTTCCTTGATCATCAAACGCTTTAGAAGCAGGGGGTCCTCGAACTTCAACCTCCTCTTCCAGCTGCTTAGAGGACATAGCATCAACAAAAACCTGGTAAAAAGGACTTTGCTTGAAACTGCTTTAAAGAGGAACAATGAATTCCAAAAAGCTTCAAGGGTTCCATGATTCAACTACAATAACCCACAACCCAAAAACTGCAGATACGTCTCTTTAGTTTTCACAAACATAGATAAAGAGCGAGTCATGTTGAAATAAGCCTCATAAGCCAAATTTGAAAAGTGAACTATAATGCTAAAGAATAAACAGGAATATTTGGTGTCAACCAATCGTCTCTCTGTAAAACTGAATTCATGGTTTAATATTGTTGACCTCAAGTAGCAATAATATGTAAAGTGAAAAATCTTATTGATTACCACTAGCCTTCGAGGTGTGCCAAATGCTTTGACAACACCATGCTCCAATCTTTGGCTCTCTAGTAATTGTAGAACTAAGACCCTGAGCTGCAATATTACCAAGGACAGTTACTTAACGTCAAAAGATTATAACAAAAAAGGACAAACAAGAAGCAGAGTAAAATAATCTAGGGAGAAGTTTGGAAAGTCTATATGTTACAACATGAGCGGCCCACAAAAGTATCTGTGAGCGAGTAAGTGATAGAGAGAATTTGAAGTTACTCCATATGAAATGAACATTTACTTGTTCGCTAGCATTGACAACATCTTGAGGTGGCATCTCTTCAGTCCCTATCTCAATGATAAACGATCTTGGATCCTCAGGAACCTGTGTTGAGCACCACAAAAACAACAAAGAAAGGAAACCATATCTTATCTGACAACTTACAGAAATCTTTTCTTAAATCCATACAGCCAGTTTTCCAGTCGTAAATAAACCATAAAAGCAAGTAATGCTGAAGATATTTCGCAAACTAATTTCTAACACGTCATTAGAAGGAAATAATTAGCCACAAAGTATCAATTGTAAATTCTCAAATTACAAAACAGGCTAACCTTTTCAGACACTTTTTCTAAAGCAGCTCTGTGATGAATGGGAGGAACATGTTCAGAGACAACACCAAGAGGATGCCCAAGTGATTCGCGTGTCTTTAACCACAGTTGGGCACATTGGCGAGCCAAGCTATTCTTTCATTTAAGATGCCCAAAAGGGAAAAAAAAAACGCATCTCGACTCCGGTTAATCAAGCTTGTTGGGTTACTAAATAATACGGTGTCACAAACTGGAACAGATCTTTACCTGCGCATTCGACTGAAATAGCGAGCACGCTCAGTTACACCAATGAAACCTCTAGCGTCTAAGATGTTAAAAGCGTGAGACGTCTTCAGAAGCTGGTCATACCTAGCATGCCCCCAAGCAATTTGTTAAATTTAAGAGGTAGTTGTTAACTATGGAGAAGAAAATGGACAATAATAAGAATGTGATAAACATACGCAGGGACTGGAAGGCCTAACGCAAGCAAGGAATGTGCTTCTTCTTCAAAATAATCGAAATGCTTTTGAAGACGATCCACGCTAGCATGCTCTAAATAATACGAGCTCATTTCCTTCCTGTAAATGTCATCAAAATATCAGTCTAGAAACGAGATCAAAACAGAATAATTAGGACAATGTATGATGAAAAATCCGTAAAAGAAAATCAGTCTTTTACTCATTCTCCAAGAAGAGCTCCCCGTAAGTGATTCCATCAGCATATAAGATCTTTTTGAAATGGTCAACTTCCTGCCAGTTAAAACAAAGGAGAACTTAAGCCAGACAGAAGGAACCTAAAAGGATATATGAGTGCATCAATAATAAGAGACTTCTTAATAAAAAAGAGACAGTCATATCGGGAGTACAAGACTGACCTGAAGCAACATGAGGATGCGCTCAAGCCCATAAGTTATTTCAACAGATACTGGACACAACTGAAGACTTCCAGCCTAGAAAGAAGCAAACTTAACAATTACCGTTTTGTAACAAGAGAAGCAGAAAATATACTCCAGATAGAAAATAAAAACTACCCTAAAAAACAAATTGCAGACCTTAATCTACCACTTCTTGTCTGAGATTGTTTACATAAAATGAAATTACCTGCTGGAAGTAAGTAAACTGTGTGATTTCCATACCATCCATCCAAATCTCCCATCCTAAACCCCAAGCACCAAGCACCTGTAAGTCATTAAAATGAATAGATACTGCAACGTTGAAGCTCTCTCTGAGACTATAGCGAGAAACTAAACGAGATGGAAAACCCACAACTTAATTTTATAAATTTTGCACATTACCGGACTCTCCCAATTGTCTTCCACAAATCGTATATCGTGTTCAGTCACATCAATACCTATAAAGACCACATAGGAAATAGTAGTAAGGGGGAAGATTATCTGAATCCTCCGAGGCAGCCTCAAGTACCATATAGACGACATTCAAAACATCAAATCTCGGGAAAATCAATATAGAACAGTCAACAAAATCACCAAGGGGAACAAGAAAGATTCAAGAAACCGTATCCTGGTTGCACTTGGGGCTCGAATATGTTTAATTTGAATGAGGATTCAGAATTGAGTGGGTTGAAATATGTAGAAATGTGAGAAGAGAAAAGTTAGAGTACCTAAAGCAGAGAGACTGTTGATAAAGAGGTCTTGGGAGTTTCCTGGATCAGGTTTTAAAATGACCTGAAACTGAGTGTGTCTTTGAAGCCTATTGGGGTTCTCTCCATAGCGACTGTCGTCGGGACGTATGCTTGGCTCCACATACCTAAAAGGAAGAAGAGTTGCAGATTTAGCGATGCTTTGTGAAACTTTTAACTTGAAGCCTTGGAAAAAGAAAAGAGAGGTAGAGAGACTGACGCAACATTCCAGGGTTCAGGGCCAAGAACCCTCAAAAAGGTGGAAGGATTCATGGTGCCAGCTCCGACCTAA